GCCGAGCGAAGAGAAGATAATGGTGCACATCAGATACACTACAACACAGATCCGTAAGCGCTGAGCTCAGCAGCCGGCCGCATACTCCACGGATGATGATAGTCTTGTTTCGCGCTTCCAATAACATCCCGCCGCAGACCAAGCCCGAGCACATTGCATATACGTAAACGAAAATCAAGTTTGTTTGGCTATACTATAGGAAAATTTCCATTTAGACAGCCCCCCCCCCCTCCCATTGACTGTCTCTACCCGAAGTTCAGAGTTTCCCGTTAAGATTTGCCGGATTAACGTTTCTGGGTGATAAGCCAATTGACGTCGATAAGGATTCTCTGTAGGGGCAAGGCATGGTCTCCGTTCCGTTCTGTTTTATTATGTGATGCTTAAACTAGTACCGCTCCGCGTGTGTACGTTATTGCGAATTGACGACGGGTTTGCAGTGTACCAAGAGAAGCTCGTCGCATTTTATGAATTAGGTGGAAACAAGATATATTAGGGGTTTTTGAGGCGCGGCTTCTGCGGCCAAAAGAGGAAAACTTTCAGGCGTGTGCAAAGTAAATGTTATATAACGTTAAATGTTATCGGAACGTTATCAAAACGTCGCGATTTTACGCAGTCGTTTTGACACCGCTCTGACCAACCTTTCCGTCGTGGCATTTCACATCGGGAGGAACGCCGTCTAGAGAGGTCGCTAGAGTTTGAGGAAGCTTCGTGACGGCTCGGGGGGAAACTTCCTCAGTTGAGTTCGTCATCAGGCGGGAGACCCTCGTTTAATTTGAGGAAGCATCATTGGGAGGGAAGCACTAGAGTGTTGCGGTTGTGCACTGTACAGTTCCTGTGAACCTCTGCCGTTTACAGCCCTCGTGAAAGTTGAAGTTGTTGTTGCGAAGACCTCTAACGTTATCGTAATACCCGGTGTACCAAGGTGCCTGTCTGGAAAAGCAAGCAACTTTCGTGGGTATCCCGGGTGGAAGGATCTACGGCGAAACTGCAGACCCAACTATAGTTACTACTCGCATGGGGTATAGGTCTGTGGCCAAACTGTAGTTCAACTACATTTTTTCACCAGTTCGCAAGCCTTTGTCGAAATTGGCACAGTTTATCTACTCTTCAACTGTAGTTAACTGAAGTTTAACTGTAGTCAAACTACAGTTATAGTTTACGGGTAGTCACACCCTTAGATCATTTCATCCGGGATGATGATTGCAAAGTGTCCGCGTGGGCACTCACCCAGAGAAATGATTAGGGATGCGGCAACCATCTTATGGTCGGCTCATGGAGCACCATGAAATGTGGTTGAGACAACAGCAGTGACAACGTGATGAAAACCATATTTTTGGTTCCCGCTATTCCACGGTAAGGTTACATCAACCATATTTTATGGTGCTCCCTGAGCCAACCATATGACGGTTGCCATTGCTAATCATTTCTCTGGGTGCGAACCCGTCGAGTGTCGAGTTCACGTGGATGGGATGGGACGGGGATGTGGGATGACGGCATCGTTTGTGAAGCCAACGTTATATAGTAATTACGCCGCAACGTGCAATCGAGGTGGACCGTATTCTATAGTCCGCTCCTCGATTCTACGTTGCGTTGACGATTCCAAGTTTCAGCAGCTATGCCAGGTGGTGCCGCTGCTGCT